TTTTGTTTAGAAGCAGTTTTCTCATTGAATCCCCATTAATCACATTTAATGATGGTTGAAAGGAGCGGAATCAAAATCAAGAATGTGAGGAAAAAAATAGAAACGTTTTTTTGACAGCAAGATAGTCTAACAAAGTAAATTCGGAAATCCTTTTAGTCAATAATTAAACACGGATCTCTCCTATTCCTTTAAAAAAGAATCTGATACACACCAACATGTTCCAAACTACCTACGAGTAATCTTCGAAAGAACAGCAGACGACTAAAGCGGTGATATGAACACCGAACAGTATGGAAATGGTTAAATTTGCAAAAAAGTCGAATTAAAATCAACTGAAATTAATACGGTTACCATCAAAGTTTTACCCAATAAAAATAAACAAAAATATACATCATCACCCTGACAACCACATTACCACACGATAAAAATCAAAGCAAAATAACATGATCGCCCCCATTTTGGCGAAAGTAAACAATTTGGTGCGTAGCGTACTGATTATTAAATATTATATTAATTAAATATTATATTAATTTAATTATATTAAATTAGTCCCGAAATTAATATAATTCTTCTAATAGAAAAATAAAAACCCAAACTTTAAATTTACAAAAGTACTCAATCAAAAAACAGAAATATTAAGCACATCATTTCAAATCTGCTATCTCAATGTGTTCATTTTATGGAGGGTCACAAACACGTGTTCTCCATTGAATTCAAAACAGGCATTAAACTAATTGTATTCGTTGTTCTTTTCGTCAACCTTTGGTAAAATTTTTAATTTAATAATTGGATAATGATATTTAAAAATACCATAAAAAGTTCCTTCAAAAATATTTTAAAATTAAATAGAATCCTATTTTTGGCATGCACTTTTTAAAAAAAAAGAATTTTGCTTACCTACGTGCGTTATTATTGTTGAGAAATAATACTTTTTTAAAAAAAAAAGTAGCTGCAAAGAGCAAATGTTGGCCACAACGAAATAATTGAACTGATTAGCTGGAAACACATGATGGCTTTTATTGAGTGGCTATGACGTCACAGGAATTTCTCACATTATTGGCTAGAAACACGTAGTTATCATTATCACGTGGCTATGACGTCACAGGAATTTAGCCCATTTCGCATAAGGCAAATAAAAAGCACAATCATTGACTTTAATGATTTCTCATAAAATAATCGTCCTAGAAATTTCTGAATTTTTTCAAATACATCTATTTTTGTCACCAAATTTTAGCAATTTTCGAATTTTTTTCTCATTGTCTGTCGCCAAGGTCACTCCTATTCATTAACATTACCAAAAGAGTACCCGTACACTTTTCTTACAAATGATCTTTCTGGTCACAATACCCTTTAGGCAGAGAAGCAAACAAACCTCGACTTTTCCGAAACAATATCTACTCCAGCTACATGTGTGTGTTTACATTAGTATAATTTTTCGTAAAGTAAATTCAGACTAATCAATATTTTTAATAAGAACGAAAAATCCCTGCAATGAATCAAATACTGTGAAATTTGTCAATCTTAAGGTTGGTTGATTTAAAAGTGTATTTTTAATGACAGTGATGATTCATTTTGCATTAGTCAAAGCGAAAAACACTAGGAAATATTCAATAGCTTTTATCATTTAATTTAAACTTAGCCTCATTCAATTAATTATGTAGCAATTAAAGAGTTTCGCTTGTATTAAATGCAGACTATATTGCTCGAAAGTGTTTCGCTTATGTTTCTAAATTATTAATAGAATTGGTAGTATTTTTAAAGTCTCAAAATAAGACAAAGATTTTAATTATTTGAAAAAATTAAGAAAGCCTCTTTATACTGAACAAACATTGAAGATCTGATGAAGAAAGCAAAATACAAATTATGCATTTTGGAAAGTTTTTATGAAAACATTATAATAAAAACACAGAAGTGGGGAAAACTGAGAGTCGAAATATAAAGTAAATTGTTCATAATGAGTAAAAAAGCATTTTTATATATCTTCAGTAAACAGAAATTAAATAAGAAGTTGTTGTTTAAAGATATTTTTGAAAAGTTCGAGTAGAAAGCATGAAATTGAATATTAATCAGTTTAAGATTGCAAGAGACCGTTAAATAACATGTAGTTTTGTGATTTAAATATAATTTTCTTTTTGATTCTAATTTCTTCGTAAATGCTATACTTTCCTTAAACAAAATATTTAGTTGATAAGGATAAATAATCTGAAAACCGATTAAGTTACTCAGTTACAAAATAGATAAATAAATAAATGAAGCAAAAATAAATAAAAAATAATAATATTTTACATGAAAATAATGATATTAAAAACAAATTACGAAAAACGAATACTTTAAAGCACATGTAGAATATAAAATGATGTTTATAAAAAATACACATTCTAAAATAATTATTTTTATTTTCGCGCAAAGATATCACAAAACGAGTACTAAAAAAAACCTAGCTTTAATAAACCGGCTAAGTGGCGTGTAGTTTGCTTGACGTTGGCCTTGCAAGCCCAAGTTTATGGGTTCAACCCCGGCCTTAGCCGGTGGATTTTCATGACACAAAAATTCAACAGCGTCCACGTCGTATGATTGCGTGGCATGCAAAAGGTCCCTAAAGTGCTTGTTTGGCTTGTGGGTGAACTAAGAAAAATAAAATTCCTAGTACAGTTTTGATTCGGTAGAGCTCAAGTGACTCCCTCTGGGGAGAAAATCGTGCGTCACAATTACTTGCGGTGATTGATGAACATCTTATATGGCGCCTTACTAAAAAGAGAAACTAGCTTCCGGGGAATATATTATTCCTGCAATGGTAAAAATACCAATCTGCAGTCCCATTAAAAAGAAAAAAATATAATTCAAAAATATTCTCATCATCCTAAAAATTATCATTTTCATCGTATTCTGGAAAAAATATTAGCGAGTAAAGATCACCCCAAGTATTTAAATGAAGTGCCCACTCGATTTCAAAATTCATTTCTAGAACAGTTTTCTGATATTAATATTAAAGAACACTTCACTCTGAAAATATTGTATGAATAAATCAATTTCTTTTTCCTGTGAACTTCGTTCTGAGAATGTTTATGAGTTAAACTTCGCTGCGAAACTTTTGGATAAGATCAATTGGTTTTTAATACGCATTTTAATGAAGTTTATCTTATTTCCCATAAAGTTATCATATGAGGAATTTTAGAATTTTCTTTTTTTTTTAATTTGCATCTCTTAAAATGTTGACTTCTAATACATATTTCTCAAACTGGAACACAACTTTTTTATCATGAAGTTGAAATATATTTTTCGCTGTGAAAACACACACACATACATATGTACACACAGTGATTTTATGCGCATGCGACTTTCAATTTTCAATTATTTTTTCTATTGAACAGACATTTTCCTGCTTTTAAAATCTTCGAAAACGATTTGACAGGATGTGCTATTAAAAAGTAAAACAAAATTTAGAAAAATACTTAATTCAATAATTCTAACTTTCGGTTTGTGCAATTATTTAGTTGATAAAATAAAACGAAGCAAATTTTTCCGTTTTAGCAATTAAGAAGACAATCAAATCATGCTTTTACATTCTTCAGAAATGAATTTTCTCAAAAAGATATGGGCAAAAAAGTGACCCACTCTTTTCATCCACTCATAACGAGGTCTTTGGAATCATTTGAATCACATACTTAAAATTTGGTAGTTATATTACTTTTACTTGAGTTAAGATCCGCTAAGAATGGTCGTGAGGAAATCAACTTCTAAAGGGCTTGAAAAGGTTGTTCCGAGAACATTATTGTAAAGTAGAAAAAAATTCACGTTTTTGAAGTATTAGAATTACAAACTTGAAAATAGGCACGCATGGTTCTTCTGTTGTGTAAGAGATCCACTAATTTTATACAAATCGACTCTCTATCGGAGTCTGGGAGGCATTTGAAACAAAAATTCCTATTTCGGGTCTATTAAACTTACTGATTTTAGGAAATTTATTTCTGTTTTGCGTAGGAATCCCCTAAGAACAAATATAGCGGAAATCGACTTCCAAAAGGATTGCAGGACGTTATATATGTGTGTGTATGCATGAGGATGTGTGTAAATTCCTGTTTTTTAAATATTAGACCCACAGATTTAAAGTGTAGTAAACATGTTCTTCTGTTCAATACAAATCAGCTACGAACGAATTTTGCGGAAATTGATTTCAAAAGAATATTGAGGAAGGGCAATAATGTAAAAAAATTTTCTTTTCGATACATTAGATTAACAGACTTTAAATTTGGCTAATATACTACTTCTCTTGAGTGGAGATCCACTAAGAACGAGTTTTGATTCAATCGAATTCCGAAGAAAGTTACGGGGGTGTCATAGATAAAAAAAAATCCACTTTTGAATAATTAACCTACATATTTGGAGTTTTACAAGCATGTTACTTTTGTTGAGTAGAGTTCAGATAAAAATGCATTTTTGAGCAACTTGACAATGAAGGCGGAGGGATACACGGGTGTGAATTAAAAATATACTTCTATTTTAGAAATTCATGCATTGTCCTTTTTGAATCAAGAGGTGACATCTATAAGGATATTTTTCAATCCAACCAAAAGCTTAATTCTAGGAAGATGGGAATGACCTAAAAATAAGTAATTTTTATTGTTATGATGTCATGAAATACCAAGCGATGTGGGGGGTCAATGGCCAGTATTTAAAAGAACAAAAACACACATAAGAAAGTAGCCCTTCAATTTTCAATTCCTACTATTAGTTCACTCTCTCTCTCTCTCTCTCTCTCTCTCTCTATATATATATATATATATATATATATATATATATCTTGTTCAATTTTCAATCGTTAATAAAATAATTTTTATTCATCCACTCGTTCAAATATATTTTTTAAACTTGTACCGGATGACATTTGATGTTAATACAGTTTGTTCAAACATTAATTAAATTTAATTAACGAATAAACATTAACAAAAATAATAGTTCAACACCATGTATAAGAAGGAGAATGGAAAATAGCTCGATATGACTCTGTAGCGCAATAAATAGCGCGTTGGACTCTTAATCCAAAGGTCGTGGGTTTGAATCCCACCTGGGATAGTCTAATTTCTGCAAAAGTGATTTCTCTTACAGTACTATTTTATTGGAATAATTAAATTTAATGAATGAATAAATACCAACAAAATCAAAAATAATAGTCCAATACCCTATATGGAAAGGAAAATAGAAAATTGCAAGGAAAATCGCTTTCTATTTTGCCACTTAATATTATGATTCGGTAATATGTATATACATATTTATTACTCGTACCTATAAAAAGTAACTGAAATAAAAATTTTCTGTGTTAACCTATGTAGGAATTGACTTTGAATAATTTTTTTTTCATTACTTGTTTATTACAGACTTCCCCGTCCTATTCTTTAATTGTAATTAGAATAATTAGTTTTACTATTCAGTTATAAATTTAATGAAATTGTTTATCATATTAAGATACAAAAATAAAGGATCCGTTAATATCCGTTTTATTATGATGTACGTCAGTAAATTAGGTATTCTTAAAGTAATGTTTACATTTTTATTTCCTATTTATTACTCGTTTAAATTATATACATATATATCAGATCATTTTATAAGCAATGCATTTATTTGATAGTCTAAGAGACCAGATTTAAAAAATCAGTGAAAACAGTATAATAAATCATGAATTTTCAAATCAGAATGTTAAACAATTTATTTTATATAGATTTCACATACCGTTAAAGTGTGAAATCCGTTATTGCATAGAATAACTAGGTATTTTATGAAATACAACTAGAGATAAGTCAGTTAAAGTATATAAAATTATTGAGTTTTATTATTTCATTTGGTAATTAATAGAATAACGATTTCTTGATCGTTTTAGTCTGAAATATGGCACTCGAAAGTTCTTTGAACCAGTTCTAGCTATATTAAGTTAGTTTTGAACCACAATTCAAAGTGTCATCATAGCAATCCCTGCTCTAATAAATAATAAAAAGTAAAATAAAGGAATTCCATAAAATTTAAATTAATACTCTCTTACAATTTGCTTGAAAAAGTTTGCACGATGTTTTTATGAAGCAATATTTTTCCTTTCCAGCATGTATTTTTTGGATAATATTTAAATATAACTATTTCTACAACATATTTTTTTTTCCTTTTTGCTTAACTGAGGCTAGAAATATGAGCAATAATAAATTATATCATCTGCTTTTCCTTATTATTTATCAATTAATCATCCGTAATATGGATAAAATGTATTTTTCGATGGATTTTGGCTATTTATGATTCATTAATTTATAAAATAACAAATTGTTTATTTTTCACTTTAAAGGACTATCATTGATTACGTCAGAGAATAATTAGTTATTTCATAGAATAACTAAGTAAAGTATGGAATTGTTTCATCCATTATACACTTTAACCGACTTGTTTAATTATTTCATGAATTACCTTGTTATTATATCAAATAACTGAAATTACACACTTTAACAATAACATATATATATCATGCAAAATAAATTACTATTTGAGAAAGATAGAAAAAAAACATGCTATTAATTCATGAATACAAAAATGAGGTAAAAAAAATAATAAAAAAATAAAAAAGATTTACTACTATATGACTATCTGACTACTATCATTATCACTGTCTGACAGTCAAAGTATATATTTGTCTAAGACTGCAATTTGGCTGCCATCACTTGAAATATGTTTGCTATTATATTCGCGCTGCGTTTCCAAAATTCTTTTAGTAATATCTTGATCAAAATTAGGACTAGCCGCTTGTGATACTTTTGCTTCTAGGTGGATTGCAGAATGAATTCAGTAATTAATAGTTGTGTTTATATTTTGGCATAGCGATTATATGCACTGGTTCGAGTATCCGTTTAATATCTCATCGTCGTATATCGTTCTTAGTTTTCTTATTCTTTCCCGTATCTTTATCGTCGTGTTTCGTATCATGAGCTCAATAACTCGATATTAACACAGCAAACAAAACTCTATATTGAGGTTATAATGTTCAAAGAATTCCCACAAAAGGGACTCGCATTGCATTTCTCGTCTCTTATGTCGCAGTTATAAAAACAAAACGAAAGGAATATTTCCCCAATTAGTTTGGGTGATAATGCAAAATAAAAATTAGTCGTGTTAAGGTATCCGACTACGTTCGGAACCGTGATTTTGCAAAAGAACATAAATGGATAATTTTCATGATATTTAGTGTCACTTAGATTAGAATAAATGCATAAAATTGTTTTAAGGACATTTTGACAAAAAAAATTAATTTAAATATAATATTTTGGTAAAAAAATTAACTCAGAGAATAATCTTTTTTTCAAATGTTCTCCTTTTGTGAAAAATGCTTCTATTAAAATATTATTTTGCCTGTATATAGCTCAGACCTCTCTACAGAGGCTTAACTAGAATTTTTGAAATATATAACTTAGAAATGGGTTTATTCATATTTTACGACAACAGAGGGGAGCAATTTTAAGAAAAAAACGCCAATAATTATTTCAATGGGTGGTAACTCTGAAAATAATGTGAATTTTTCAAAAATTCTAGCTGAGCCTCTGTAGAGAGTTCTGAGCTATAAACAGGCAAAATATTCTAATATAAGCATTTTTCACAAAAGGAGAACATTTGGGGGGGAGATTATTCTTAGTTAGTTTAGTTAATATGAGTTATTCTGAGTTAATCTGAGTTTAGTTATTCCTAGTTAATCTGAGTGACACTAAATATCATGAAAATTATCCATTTATGGGCTTTTGCAAAATCACGGTTCGAAACGTAGTCGGATACCTTAAAAGATACACGATTTTTATCTATTTCGCTCTTTCAATTCCTACTATTCTCTCTATTTATCTTGGTGGAATTTTCAATCGTTAATAAAATACATTTTAAAGCGCTCAATTGAGCTAAAATTTTATATACATGATTATTTTGGATGACAATGCAGTAATTTAATTATAATTAATAAAAATTTATTGATTAAAACTAATTATTTAAAGAATTACAAATACAGCCACATTGGCGACTTGAGTCAAATTTGAAATAGTTTTTTCTCACATTTTAAAGCTTCAGTTGAACTGAAATTTTATACACACGATTGTTTTGGATGACAATCGATACTTTAATGATAATTAATAAAAAAATCATTACCATTTATGGTTGTGATTCTGTCATATGTATATACATATTTATATTAATTGTAACTATTTAATAAAATAAATTTAATAAGCTAAAATAAATTTGTTCTTTGTTGATCTAAGTAGGAATTGACCTAAAATTTTTTTTATATTACTTGTTATTTAATCACCCACTTTTTCAATATCTTTCATCATAAAAGCAATAAGAAAATTACTTCATCTCCGTAAATTTAAATTTATATGTAAGTAATCTATCTATATATCTATTGTGTGGAGAAAAACAACTTACTCACTCACATGTCCCAAGATCTCCGGAACTTATTTCTAGATACTTGAAATTTGTTAAGCATTTTTCTTATGTTGGATAAGCATCCCATAAAAATGGAAATTGACTCCCAAGGGAGTTTTAAAAAGGGAGGTTGTGAACAGCGTTATAAAAAAATTCCCTTTTCAGATCTATTAGATTTACAAACTTGAAACTTGATAAGCATGTTTCTCTTGATGGGTAGAAAACCTATTAGAACAGACTTTACGGAAATAGACTCCTACTTCTAGAAGTTAAGTGGACATTTCAGGTAGAATTTATTGTTTTTGAGGCATCAAACTGTCGCGGTCCGTCTACCTCGGGTGTGAGAGGGTTAAGTACGAAAAAAACATGATCTAAAATTAACCACTTTTATTTAGCCTTTAACACTTATGAGAATTTAAGAGGATTAATGAGAATACACTCTGATAACTAAAAACCCAAGGAGTAATAAATCTTGTTAATCTTATTATACTTATACATAAACACTTATCTTAACTATTCTCTTTGACGCTCTTGCTGCCAACTTGCTTAATTGTCAGCCGTAACATGGATAATTTCAACCTTTCTCTAAATCCTACCCTTTGGAATTAATATTACCAAGCGCCACCACTGGTCGCTCACACTATGCTTTCCACTTAGGAACAATTTTAAGCCATCATCCCGCCTACTACAGGACTAGCACTTAAATAGAAGTTTGCATTTACATAAAGCTAAGTCCTCTCTACGGAAAGCGGTTTTCAACTAAAATCACAGTTAAAAAAGTATTTTCCCCAAGAGGATTAGTAGAAGCCCAAATACAACCCGTTACCAGACTTGGAATTTGGGAAGTAAGTTTCCTTTGTGGAGAAGAGATCAAATAAGAGCATGGCATGTGGAAATAGAGAGACTCCCGAGAGGGAAAGGTTGCAGAACATTATAGATTACCGTTTTTGAACTATTAGGACTTTAGAGATTAAATTTGGCAATCATGTTTATTTTGTTTTATGGAAATCAACCCTGATCAGGTTCAGCCTTTAAATCAAGAGGCGTGTGTTAAAAGAATATTTTTAATACAATGAAATGCCACTACTAAGTGACATCAATAACTTAAGAATAATATACAAACACTCATTATAAAATACATAGTGAAGCAAACGGGTAAGGGCTATTTGAAGGCATAACTGTAGACCGAAAATGGCAGTTCAAAAGTTTTCACATATACATTCTTAATGTACAAGCATTTCGAATTTTATGGAAATCAACCCTGATCAGGTTCTTCCTTTAAATCAAGAGGCGAGTGTCAAAAGAATATTTTTCAATACAATGGAAAGCCCAATACTAGGAGATATCAATAACTTTAGAATAATATGCAAACAAACATTATGAAATACATAGTGAAGCAAGCGGGTAAGGGCTAATTCAAGGCTTGACTCTAGACAGAAAATGACAGCACAAAAGTTTTCACATCTACAACGTTAATGCAAAAGCATTTCGAATGCATCATTTAATCTTCTGTATTAAATCTAATTGAAATCAAAATGTCTTGTTCAGAGGGCACACTTAAAATGCTCCCAACTAATAATTATTTAATAATATCGAACATATGTATGTTGTTATTCCCCAAACAATTAAGTTCTATCTGTAACC